TTCTGGACAAAAGACCTGAAGTGGGCCTCAAGGTCCAGCGCCTCCCCAACATGTAGCGGAACCCCTGAAATCTCCTCCCTCTGCTCCCGAATCTTTGTCCTGTTGTAAACCTCTGTGATGCTCAGCTTGAACGCCCCTGAATATGACTTGGTGGGGTCGGTGGCAAAGTCAATTGCAGCCTCACATGTCGTTCTTGTGAATGGGTTGTCCTCTCGATATATGATTGCCACTTTCTGCAGGTTCCTTAGGGCCATGCGTCGCAGTGCCAGTTGAGTGTACCTTGTGTTGCTGGCTGGTATGCCAAAGACATACTCGAATCCCTGGCTGTAGATTTCATCGGGCCCCACACAACAGTGGTAGTTCAAGCGGCTTGCGTTCTGGCATATTCTTGTTTCGCTCTCTGCAAAGAATGCAAACAATGGACCATTCACTGGCATGACAACTCGGATCAGAATCAGTTGCCACAATGAAATGCCTCTTCAGCCCTCTCTTTTCAATCTGGCAGGGCTGATGCAGCGACAGCACTGCCCGTAAAAGACGGATGCTTGCCTTATTTGTTTGACGCCCATGGAACTAAGCTGTTTGTTCGCAAGGCCTCCTGCCAAATTCTACTTTGACGCACCCTCGATCCTGCCCGGGCCCTTGCCCTGTCCTGCACGTCCACCGGACCGTAAGGGCTCCGAAAGGAGGTGTGGGGCCACGTGCCTTGTCAAACATAATCTTCATTCCCAAGTCAACAAAAGACAGAGGAGGTCAACGTAGCCCAGACAGCACAAGGGGAGGCGCGCCCACCGGCGAATTCGGGGTGCGATCCGAAGACAAAGTGAACGGCCTCGTCGCCGTGCAGCAGGTCCATGAGCTCCAACTCGTGGCGCCTCGCGTCCCCGCCGTCGTCCTTCGACACGAACCGAAACTTGAAAAACAGCTCCGCCCCATCGCGCCCCCTCACACGGAAGCCCTTTCCGTTATTCAACAAGCTCGCCCGCTGCACGAAGAGCTCGTAGCCCTCCCTGGCCTCCTGCATCTCGTCCGTGTGCCCCTGGCCCCTCTCGGTGAGCACCGCCCCCGCCCTGAAGACATTCACCTCGCGACAGAGGCACGCGCGAGCGGCCAGGATGCACGAAAGGATCAGCGCCCATCGGGCTCGCCAAACCTCACACCGTCCCCTCGGTTGGGCGCCCATCCCCCTGCGAACAAATCCACGACGGGATCGCTGCGCCATTATTTGAGCAGGCCCACAGTGCACACGTGACGCCTCATGATGGTCAACGTCCAACGGCGCATGCCCCGTTCTCTAACTCAAACGAAGGGCTGAATGCCTGCACTCCGTTCGCATTGCGCCGTCATCGGAGGCAAGTGTGCCGTGTGCCGCCTAAGGAACTGTCGGACATTGGTCATTGATAGCATCCCCCCCCCCCCTCTTTCCCCCGCGCCCCCTAGCGCCAATGTTTCCTCATCCAAAGCGAGCGCGAAGCGCCGACCGGGCCCGCGTCGCAGCGCGGCACCGCCCCCGCTCGTCCCGCATCACCGTTTTCGCAGCGCCGTCAGAGTGCGACGTCCCTTCGACACCCGTACTTCCCACCAACGGCCCTCCTGCCAGAAGAATGGGCCCCAATGACCACCCCCGCCGCAGGCAACCCAACCAGCCCCAGCCACACCACGCGGAAACCCACCCCCGGCATGCCGCCCCTTTGGACGACGCCGACCCTAACCGGCCCGAAAGGCGCACACAGCGTGCGCTGGCTTACCCGCAGAACGCGCTCCGCTGGGCGCCAACCCGCGGCCCAGCGGGTTGGGCCCGGGGTAGCCGCGGCCGCCCGCGCGTCCGTGGGCGCAATGTCGCCCTACCCTGCGCTCACTCACGCCGCGCCCCCCATGCCTTTCGGACGGACGGGTCGGCAGAGGGGACGCGCAGGAACCGCGGGCGGCGCCGCTGGCAGGTAAGCGGTGCACACACACATAATGCGCGCCTCGTTGCGCCGAGGAGTGATGTACCCCTGGAGGGCGGGGACGTGGCCCCGGGAGCGCTACGGCGTACGGGCGGTGTGATGATTGGACTCAGCGGGGTGTCCATGCGTGCTGACATTGTGCCCGGCCGCCGTGCCGGGTAGGGGGCTGAAAGGTGGTGATCAAGGAGATGGGCTGCCCGGAAGGCACGATTCTCAAACTCCGGCTTGCCACCGCCACACATCCGAACGGAGAGTGCCTTGGGCAACGCGGAGAGCTGTCTTGGCTGTGTCCCGGCGGCAAATTTGGGGCTAGTACATTAACGCAGTACATCACATGTGGGGACTCAGCCGTGTCCCGCCCACCCTGCCACGGCCTGGGGCCAGGAATCCCTGATTCCTGCCCCCCTGTGCCGGTTCGAGGGTCCCTTGCGAGGAAAACCTCACGTGGGTGCAAGGAGTTACAACTGACTCCGAAGGTTCGAACATATGAATGGAATCCAAACATCGGACACAGAATGTATCTCCAATCTGTTCCCACTCGCTGGTCAACACTCCGCACCCCGCCTTAATCGATCCGACCATAATCAAATACACTTCCAGAAATCGATACAGAATCAAATTAATCCACTATAACGCTGAGTACACTCCGACGAGTCACATCATCAATACGGTGCCAGTTCCAAGACCTTACCCTAGTAGGTGTACACGCATCGATAGAATTCACCATCTCAGTGCCCCTCCATGGCCAATCTCATGCCCTCATGATTAGGCCATTACAGAACTAGACATAGTTGTGAGATTCGGACAGCCACTATCCAGCCCCCGGCATGGTGGGCCCATTTCAAAGTGCGCTCGGAGGCATCATGGCGCCGAAAATGAACCCGATTTGATGCCAAAAAGGTCTTACAATTTGTCCATTATACAAAATGCCTTGGTTCTATTACCCCCGAGCTTGCTCTCAAGGCTGCTCGGTTTGGCTCGGGTTGCCAAACAGACGACTGACGCTTCCTTTTATACCCCAAGCGCCCTATCTTTTCAACAGAATATCTCAAGGATATACCCAGAATATTCTTCTATTTGTAAACCCGCTCAAATGCTATTGTCACTTGGATATAAACCACCACAAACCTATACAAAACATGATGTAAACACCTCTTTTCCATTACAAACCCATACGAAACGTTATGTACAACCTCTATTCCCTCATGTAAACCTTTGCAAATGCCCATCAAACATTCACATTCATAGATTCCCCCTAGCTCCCATTCCAACGCCCCCTTAGCTATAAAAGAGAGAGCCCTTCATTCTAACCCTTGAGTTCTTCCTCTTGGAGTGCTCTAGGCCAAGGGCTCCAAGGTGAGGCTTTTCTGGATGTTCGAATGGACTTAGAGCCTCCTCATTTATACTTGGCGCATCCCTAAGAATATACCCTTAGATTCCTAGAATATATTGGGATTATTCCTTAAGAATATTCTTAGAATATTCTATGAATATTCTCATATATAGTCGCGCAGCTCATCACCTAAACATGACTAATCATGACTAATCATATCTAAGAATGACTAAAACATGACTAAAGCATGACTAAAAATATGACTAATCTTTTAATTTCAGCTTTCTCCCCTATCAACCCAGTTAATCATTGAAAATGCCCAAAATAACCTATTTTAGCATCTAGAGTGCCTAAAGTCGTTACATAAAGTCACTTAATAAAAGTGAATACTAGATTCGTTTTTTGAGTGACTTTCACAATAGTGATGATCCCAAATAACACCCATTCACTCAATGTACAACTTCAAATCATGAATATTGTGTCAGATAATGCTGCCACTGGGCATGCGGATGTGCACTGCTCCTAGCTCGCCCTTTGAAACAATCTTTCCCGGCCCGTGCCAGTGGTGTGAAAGCTTCATCTTCTTCTTGGATCGGTTCCGTAGAAGTACAGATGTTCCGATGCTAAATTGGTGTTCTTTGGTGGGTAGAGCCAAAGCCTCATGTTGTTAGTCATGGGTGTAAAGGCCGAACGGAACGGCAATGGACGGAAAATGGCAGGAAAATCGGTTGAGGGAGATTAGGTTTGCAACGAGATTCAAACAAGGCGAAAACTGAAGATTCACAGCTTTGGCTTTTGAAGCGTTTGCCTACCACGTGGGCTCAACTAGACGCTGAGTTCACCGCATGCCCATCAAAAAATTGGGGAATTGTGTTCCGGCAGTTCTGCATAACCCCGCCAAGAAAGCATTCTGTATGGGGAGTCTGCATTTGGTAGCGCCCCCCGCGCTCTACCTACCAAGGCTTGACCTCCATCGGGCTGCCTCCGGTCAACCATCAGCTGAATTTTCGAGATGCTCCACCATCAGTGCCCTTCCATCGCTGGCCTCGCCGATGGGCAACAAGTCTCAAGGTGTTAGGTTTGTTGCGCACCATGGGGACACGAACGCGGAAAGGAACGGCAGGCTCAATGTACCGCACTAACCGGTACCCGGGGGTATCGACAACCCCCTATGGTAACCGGCCCAAGAGGGCTACGGTTACGATAGTGTAGGGGTTAGAGTTGCTATACCGGAACTAGGGCGGTGGCCACCGGTACCTGGGGTACCCCCAGGTTCCGGCGCTCGGGTGTGGCCCCAAGTACGTAGTACTTGGGGTCCGGTGCTGGGTCCCGGCTTAATGGCCTTCGAGCGCCCGTACTGGCAGGCTTCTCTCACCCCCTGTTGTGTGCTGCCGCGCAACATCTGGTTTCGGAGCCGGGTTCCCACGAACCCGGCGACCTTTTTTCAGCCCCACCCCTCCCTCGCGGTTGCTGGGCCGCGCCGCCTCCCTTCGATCGACGGCGTCGCCGAATCCCGGCCATTTTTCGGCCACCCCATCGCCATGTCCGAGGAGGCGACTTCCAGCCAGCACCTCGGCGGCGACGGGGACGATCGGCCGCTGCCGGCCGTTTCTGCGGCGCAGCCAGGCGGCGTGGTCTCCACGCAGCCGATCGCCTCGCCCCTCTAGGCCCATTCGGCCGAGGGGGGCACAATTTTCGAATCGGTGGGGGGGGAGCTGCCCCCCACCTCCATCCCTCCTAGGGCGAGTACGCCCCCGCCGGTGCGCCCGACCGTTGGGGCGCCCGATGCTCTGTCTCGCAGCCCGAGCCGGCCCCCTCGCCCCCCTGTTTTGGGGCCACCTGCACTGCCTAATGCCCACGATTTGGCCGGGCAGCTCCTGCCCTTTTTGGAGGAGCATATCCGCCAAATGTTGGCGGGCGTGGGTTCCTCCAGCCGCCTGCCCCCCTTGCCGAATTCCGGTCCGATCACGGCCCCCTCCCCTACCGCCCCACTGCCCATTCTTTCGGCGGCTGAAGGGGGGGCCCTCTCGGGTTCTTTGTCTCCAATTCCCTCCTCCTTGGCGGGTTCTGTGGCGGCCTTGGCTGTGGCCCCACCCGCCTCGGGATTGGCGGCATTCTCCCATCTTGGGAACCAGCTGACTCCCCCGATCGGCTCCCTGCTGCCTGCTGGCTCGGGATCCCGGGGTATCGTGTCTCCAATTCCCACCTCCTTGGCGGGTTCTGTGGCGGCTTTGACTGTGGCCCCACCCGCCTCGGGATCGGAGGCGCTCTCCAATCTTGGGCACCCGCTGGGTCCCCCGATCGGCGCCTTGCTGCCTGCTGGTTTTGGATCCCGGGGTGCTGCTTTGGCTGTGCCGCCCCTCTCTGCTCTC